AATTTGGGCCCCTTCCTGTTGTCATAGGTTTCCTGAAGTAGCACTCGTTATTACGAATTATTAATTCATTTAAAGGCAAAAGTCTTGTAATTGGCCAGTCGGTCTCAAACTTTAAGGGATGTTTTTAAAATGCAAAGCTTGGGGGAGGGGGAAATCTTGTATACTCTGGTTAAGGAAAAATGCACCCCAAATAAACATTAGCCTAACCAATTTCCACTCAGTTGGGGGTAATAACATGTCAAAGGCGTATAGTGAAAATAAGGAGCAGGGTTAGCAAAATTGCTGTGCTAACATAATTTTGCAGTCTAACTTGTGTTTATACTATGCAAGAGTCACATCAGGGAACAGCAACATAGGAAACTGATCTGATTATGGCTTTATTTTGGGGCCACTTTTGATGGCATATCCCCTTAAAATATTGTGTAAATCCATATTTCAGAAAGGGGGTGAGATTCCTCACCGACAGATGATAGATTGTGGGGTGGGGAGAGGATTGAAGATGGACACTGAACAGCAATCCTTCCTAGAGCGTGCTGTGATGTTGTTTTGTCTGCCTCCTCTTATAACTGGGAGTGTTTGGGGAAACTAAAAGAGAACACACCATAGGAACAGAGAGTCATTTTATCTGCGGCTAGACTCGTGTCTCAGCAATTTGACTGACCTATTGTCTATCTCATTTTGAAACCCAATATGCCAAGGAAACATTTAAAAGAAAAACTTACAAAAAAAATCTGTGATGCGACCATCTGTCATAATACCAGTCGCAGCTTTCTCTTGCTCACCCCTTTCAGAAGGGTTGCTGAATACTTCTTTCTTTGGTCCACCAGCTCCCTTACTCGCCAATCTGGTGGGAGAAAACTGAGCCACGAGGCTAAGAATATCAGATCAGTTTTACCAACAGAAGTGCTTTTAAAGGGGAAAGTGTTCTTCTAAAGTCTCTCTCCTCGGACCGTTGCCGATGTGAAACCGAGTTCTATTTTTCTTTAGGAATGCCAGTCCCCGCTGATCTAGGCCTGTTATATTTAGAACTCAAACCTGTTAACTCGCCATGTGCTTTACTTTAGGCCAGTATCCTAAATGCTAAAGAAGAGAGGAATGTGAGGGATGCATGCAGAGATTTGCCTCACGCCAGCTGATAGAATCTCTGCAGAGTAAACCAGATGCATTGAGCCTTCCTGCTTCCCTAGAAACAAATATCATCCTTATTCCAGAATTTCTTTGAAATCTTTCTAGTGGCATGGCCCCTACGGGGTTTGAAACGGGACAGGGTTTCTATCGAAGTAGAGACCTAAATTGAACGCAGGTGAGCGTGTGATTTCAGCGAAGTGTCTACCTACTAGCCTGGCCGAATCCTTGATTATCACTGGGTTCAGCTCTTTGTGGTTGATCTCCGAGCCTGTTTAACATTACATGCGGTTAGCATTTAGACCAAACACAATTCGATTTAGACAGGGGAGCAGCTGTCGTAGGGGAGGGCACGAAAACCAGCCCATTTATACCGCCTGGGCACTGTATTATTTGCCCAAGTGATGGGAAGTCTAGGAACATAAAACCACATCTGTTTCATTTCGACTCGTGTTTTCTTGGAGGACCTCAGCGTGCCAACTTCAGGAAAGGAAACTCTGAATCCGATCGAGCTGAATTGTGACGTGACTCAACCAGGCAGGCGTGGAGGCTTCTATCTATAGCAACGACCGGAAATTTTCAACTACAAAAACTCCTTTTGTCAGTCTCATCTCCGCTTCCTACCCGTGCGCTCTAGATTCGATTTCGAAATCTGGGAGTTGGGGAAGAGTTTCGCAGATGCCTTGACCTCTCCTTAATGATTTCAAAATTAAAAGGTTTTCCACACCCGTAAAGACACTAGGTCCCGGCAGTTACTTTGAGTCATGAAATACACAAAGCGGAAATTCAATAGCACGTTTTGTGTGTGTGGTCGGAATCGCTAGCAGCTGTTTCGGATTTTTTTTGGGGGGGGAGGAGGTAACACTTTTTCGTTTATAGAGGTTAGAATTATTATTTTTACATCATAAAAATAGGAAAAGTCGACCCTGCTCCTACATTTGTTCTTCCTTATCAGGTTTCTAAGGCGCTGTTTATTCGGTAGCTAATTTAAACAAAATGAATAGAAAAGATGCTAAGTATCCCGAGAATTTAAATATAGAGTGGGATTAAAGGAGTGTAAATGTAAGAGACTGCAGCTGTTGTCTTCCTCTTGAGTGGTTGTAATCATGATGTCTTTAAAAAATTGGTCAATAACAAAACCATCCTCGATTCCAGCGCTAAAAAAATGATTTACTTAGTTGTGTGGGGGGCAGGGTCTTGCCTCTTGATTTAAACTGGAGAAGTCCAGTGAAATGCCTGGCACGCAGTAATGAAATTTATTAAGGAGCCCTCTAATTGGAGCTCGCCTCTGCCCAAGTCGTTAGGAGCTGAATAATTGTGATTGGTATTTGGAGGGGGAGGGGGGATGCAGCTGCTTGGCCCAGTGCAGCGCTATTAGTCCTGGGGATTTGACCACCAAATGGCCACACCTGTTCTTCAGCAGCAGCGAGCTGCGATTCATCACTTGCAATTTCTCACACTGCTAAACGCGGGGCTCTGTTTGAAATCCCCATTGCGGACATTCCAGGGGTGGGGTAGGAGGAGGGCGCTCGAATGCTGCCTCTAGAACCTTTCCCACACCTGGGGGAAGCGGGCACTTCCCCCCCGGAGCCTGGGATAGATTTCTCTGATTAGGCAGGCGGGCCCAGATCTTGCAACCCTCCTCGCGGGTCAGCCTTTCTCCCTCGGGCGATTTCAGAGGCCATAGCAGGGCTGCACGATCGGGTCCTAATTTTGCGCGTCCCCATTCGTTCTGTGGGGAGGGCCAGGCGTGGAATCGGTGGTGGAGGAAAGGAAAGCGCCTGGCCAACCTGGCCTCTCTACAGCTAATTGGATTTACAGGGACTGCATCCTCTCGCTCACTATCTCCCCTTCGCTTTCTCCGCAAGACACACAAATCGGGGAAGCTTGTGCGTTCACCAGACTCCCCTTGTGAGAGCGCCTCAAAGAGAGTGATACTCAAGAAAAGGGGCTTTCAGGAGCAGCGTGTGCAAAAGTGACACACACGGCGGATGGAAATAAAGTGTTCCCGTCTCACGAACTTGATCTGCTCCTCTTTCTCCTCCATCCTCCCTTGCTTAGTTTTCAGCAGTCAGGAAGATGTGATTTCTGGAGCTCTTTTCTGGCTCCAGTGTAGCTACCGAGAAGGGGGTGAGGGTGTTACGGAAAAATCGCTCCGAATCCAGCATCAAGGTGCTAAACAGATTGTGCGTTGATTCGGTGCAAGACCTCATTGAAAAAGCGGCCTCTTCCTGCGCTGGTCAAGACACGTGCTGGCGGCTGTGCTCTGGGGTTCCTCGCAGGTGCGCCCGGAGGTTGCACCCTGGACTATCTGCATCTAATCCGCTGCTTTGGGTCTGCTCGCAGCTTCGTGAACACGGCGGTGCTTTGGCGCACGGCTCCACTGGGGCGCTGACTCCGGGTTGCCGTTCTTGGGGCACACTCGTTCCAGCGGGTTACCAAAGCCTGCGTCGCATACCTGTGAATACAGGGCGGAATTTCTGTCCACACTACTGTGACACGTTCCTGGCTAAGCCCCCACACTCACAGGGGAGGGAAGAAGGATCGGGCCCGGAAGCTGGGCTCCCAGGTTTTCCGTGGGGAAGGGCGAAGGGTGGGTAACCTCTTACCTTCTCAGGCCTCTCGCTGGGAGCTGCTTTGCCTGGAGGTTGCCTGAAGGTGTATTCCCCCCTCCCGCCAACACCTGCCCGTTGGCAGCTTCCTTGCGCTCAGGGCCCTCTGGGCAGGGCAAATAAGGTGGCTTCCCTGAAAGCTGCAGGGAGTCATAAAAAGCTGCATTGGCGAAGCCCTGCCGGGTGCCCGGAAGGTGCGTTGGCCAAGGCGAGGAGCTTCCAAGGAAACTCTTCCCCTGGAACCGCAGCATCTGCCCAGGGGCCCCACGACCCTGCATCTCTCCAAGGTGCGTTTCTGGCGGAGCCCCTGATCATGGGCTTAAAGGACCCGGGCGAGGAAACAACCTCCTTGGGGAAAGCGCCCCCTTGATCCCTTCTGCTCCTTATACACGTGCCCACAGCTGCATCAGCCCGGCCCTTCGGCGCTAGCTCGCTAGTGGGGCGCGTTGGGAGCGGATCCGGTTCGCACTCCGCACTCCAAAGACCTTTCCACGCTTTGCTGTGGGCAGCGTCCGCGTGTTTCCAGTTCCACCCTCTTACTCCACCCCCCCTCCCCGCGCTCCAGCCGATTCAGTGCAGCCAGCCGTCTGCTCGCTGCAGGACCAGGGGGCAGGAACGCGGGGGGTCGGACACGTTGCTGGGAGCGAGGTTTCAGGTGCGGAGCAAAGCGGGCGCCGTCGATTCGCACCGACGGGCTGCGAATCTGGAGCTGGCGCGCTGAGCCTGTCCGCTGCGGAGGACTCCGCCTAGATGAGGCAGAGAGCCGCTTGCACCAGACCGTGCGGGCGCCGAGAGGGAGGCTTTCAAGCCCTGGGGAGGTGGGTTTGCCTAGGCGAAGAGAGAGGGCGTCTCCGCCGTCCCAGGGAGAAGCGGCGGGCGCAGGGTGAGGGCAGAACGAGCGATGGATGCAGCTGCCCGGGGCAGAGGGGAGCTAACCCCGGCGGACATCCCCGTCTCCCCTGGCTGCAGCCCGGGATCGGGCCCGAGAGACGGGAAGGCTGCCCCAGGGGTAAGTGGCAAAGGGGCGGCTGGCGGATGTCTGCGGTGGCTGCAGCACGTGATGCGCTGGCTGTCGTATAAAGGCCTCGGG